ACTTTAAGAACTAAGGATCAGATTTCCTTGCTGGAGTCTAAGTCCAATTTAGAGGTTTCAGATGGAGAAAAAACTGTTTTTTGCTAAGTCACCGTAACAAAAATCTAATTGTATGAGCTTCTTTAGCCACACATATACAGTAAAGCATTTAAATAAGTTACATGTTATATTTGTAATAATCCACATATTATTAGATATCAGGTATCATATTTTAGAGGAACCATGTCTACATGACAATTCATTACTAATTCTAAAAAATACTATCAAGAGCCTAAGGCACCTTTTTGTAATAATTTATTCTATGTATTTTCATCCAGATGACAGTTGTTCTAAATAGACCCTCAAACATTGCAACTCTGCTTAAACATGAGACGGGGCTAAAGAAGTACCTTACCAGTCAAACAGTAATAAACATATTATGATCCTACTGATCCTTACGGCTATCGCTCATAATATTCTTTTAGAAGATTGGATAAACATTAGCAAGAGGACTGATTGCATCTGCAAAAAGAATTAAACTATGCTCTAATACAATCCATATGTTTGCAGTTGCTATAAAGTTAGGGAACACCATAGACAAATCTAAATGTTTTTCTCTGAAACAGCAACAGATGTTAGCAGTTGTGCACTCTACCGTATAAAATCTAAACACAAAAAGTGCACTGAGAACATTATTTCTTGTTGTCTATAGAAACCAATCAGAATCATTTTTTCATGTTCATCTCTAGACTGCAAAAATTATAGTAGGAAGCGGATTGGTTGCTACTGTCAACACTAATTGTGCTTGTTAGCACGCTTTTCTTCAGCCCCATGAAGTTATTGAAGCTGCAATCTACATCACTCTACCTTTTAAATAAACAAGATATGTATTCATATTACTGTGAATATGCATTAACTACAGGATCATTTGAAGGGTTCATCCAGAGGTTTTTGATCACATGTTTGTATGTTACACTATCTAAGATAAACATTTTGGTCATATGAGGCTGAATGAAATGTGTCATATTTTTTTTGAATGGAGGTTTCCACAGCAAAGTGCATGCACTCTTATGCTAGTGGTCATCAGTCCTTCTCTCTTCTGCGGAATCGACTTCAGTTGAATCTCCCAGAGGGAGTTTACCCCAGATGTCCCCATCCATGACTGTCCAGCAGTAAATGGGTTAACCAAGACACAGCTGTCAGCCTTAATGGGAAGAGATAAGTGTGAAAAGAAACCTAGGCTGAATGACACAATAAGAAGAGTCCCCACATGGTAAAGGGCAGAACATTCTATTTCTGGAGGCCACATTACAAGGCTGATCAGTAAATAGCATAAGGGATGTCCCTTGTCTAATACACTGTTCAGCTTTATAGACCATATAAATGGTCTGTACATGCGCAAGTCCGAAGCACACCAATCATCATTGACAATAATGTAATAACTACAGCAAGTCCAAAAGTTTAAAACCTAAAACAAACAACAAAATCAAAAAAAAAGATAAAATATGTGTAAATTCACAAGCCACAGCAGATACTCAAAAAACGTATAAAGCATATAATACGGGAATAATTCATAGGTCCACAACTTCTATCACAGTCAGGTTTTATCTGCTATACAAGACTCACAAATGTATGCAGAAGGTTAAGCATCTGCCTCACACATAAATGCCACCCAGTCAGTGACCATCATTCAGCTAATCAGCTTGCCTGCCACTGAGTTCAGTTAGCCCTATAGCAATATCAGTCCATTTGTCATGGCAGAGGAAGCCGATCAGTGGGGTGAATTGGGTTCAGTAAAGACCCTCAACGGCAGTCTCTCTCTTGATCAAGCTATGAGCATGTATGTGACACAATTTATGCCAGTTTGCTGGGAAAATATTGAATATAGATCACTAAAGTGACAACAGTAAAATTTATGGAAAAGTAATGGATTAAATATTCAGATTTGCCAGCTAGAAAACAACATCCTTAACGAGGTGCATTTCCCTTACTATAGCGCCACAGAAAACCTGTGGCCTTTCAGTCACAGAAAAACTACAAGTCTCAGCATGTCTTAATAGTCTACATGCTGAGACTTATAACTCCTTTATAGCTATGTGAGCCATCATTTGTTCCCTGGCAGTAAACTATATTACCTACAGAAAAAAAGTCTTCACTATTTAGCCCCCTGTGAAGTAATTGTTTATTTTGTATGATAAACCAGACTCAGACAGCTCACTCATGGCCAGAGAACATTTACATATGCTGAATAGCCAGGTTCACATTGGGTTATTGTAGGTGAAAAATGGGGGTATTGCTAAAATCAGCACAATTCATGTCTGAGCTTTCACTACCAAAATGCAGGTAACCAGCTTTGATCAAATACGAATCTTACATGCCTCTATGATCCAATTATTCCAGAACATAATTCACCCAGCCAAAGTAAAATAGGTTGCTGGTTCCTGTGAGATGTGGAGAGAGCAGACAAGCTGGGTATTTATGGCTCATGCATCCCCCACACACACACACACACACCATCCCCAATCCTCGGGCATGTTTTCCACCCTTTAAAGTTTTTAATCACATGGGGATTGTCAAAGAAGGATGATTGCCAAAGCCACTTAGCTAGCCAGGGATCATAAGATGCCACTGCCTTCTAAAATCCCCTTTCCAACACCGAGATGGATAATCCTCTTTCTGAAATCACAGGACTCATTCTCTCTTCTGCCAGTTCTGCAATTTGCTGTGTGTCTTTGCTGAGCCCCTAGTGTTCTGATCGGGGACAGCCTTGGGTTATATGGCACCTTGTTCAAAAATATAGCCTGGCAGTCTTATTCCTCCTCAATATTGCTAAAGGCAGAATACTAAGAGCTGACTGTACTGAAGCCAGAGCAGTGCCAAAGTTGTGCAATGTCACCAGAGCAATGCATTGTTCCATGTATGATGCCATGTTACTATCTTAATGTAGTGGTTTCAATATACTATTGTAATGCAACTCTAGTGGTCAGTGATTCCATCTTAACAAGCTGAATATAGTGATGTCAAGATACAAATGTAATGCAGCTCTAGTGGTCAGTGATTCCATGTTATAAAAATCAGTACTGTCCCTTGAAACTTGTGCCAGAAAGAAGTATTGGGGAGTCAGCTTCTGTAGTTTGTAAAGTAAATCCACAGATGCTAAGAGCAAGGGTGCCAGGTGCACGCATCTGTGAGTGACCCTGGGTGTCCCCACATATGGCACCCTTCATGACACATGGACCACTATGGTGGAGTTGTAAACAATAAACAGTGACAACAGCAGTCTTTGTCAGTGATATGGTGCTGGCTGCTTGTCACCCACAAATAGGAACTGCCTTTTATTTGTATATAGCCTACTGTTCATGAGACCTTCCTGGAAAGGAGGCTTCTTCCTTCAGGAAGGATTAGATCACCATTATTAATATTTTATTCCACCCATGCCATACTGTAAAGCAACATGAGAGGAGACATGTTGAATATGTGAGAGGGATGTGAGTGTATATGGAAGATCTCATATTTGGTTTCTAAGCACTCACTGTGCCTATTATACATTCAACTAGTGTCCCCATCCTGCTCTCCAGAACAAGCCATACCCCACCAGTTACTGTCCCTATGAGTGGATTCAGCTTCTCTATGGGGTGAGTGCTCTCCTCTGCCTCTGATCAGTGCAGGCTCGGTGCTTTGTGCCCCAGAGATTGGCCACTATGTAGCTTTTGTGTCTAGCCAGCACTTTATCTCAGGTCCTCACACTGTACACAATGCAACACTGTTTAGCTATGCAAATGAAACCCCCCACCTTTCATTTCCTAATCTCGCTTTATTAGCCTATATAAATCACCAATTAGGGATTACTGCCCCCAACGATGACCGGCAACATTGTTACATTGGGTAGTGCCATTGTATTTCGTGGCATAGCCACAATAACTACTTGAAAGGCTTGCTTTCATACAATGGGGGTCTAATCTTATTTACAAGTCAGCACGACTTTCTACGGAGAGAAAGGGCAGATTTCTAATTTACAATGTGGATTGAGCCAGCTGCAGGAGTGAATAGACAGATAAGCACCTAAAATACCGGGCGTTATTGTGTGTTTAATACACAATGCAAGCGCTATTGGATAGCGATCGCTGGGCAGAAGATCGGGCTTATTATGGTAGATCTACTGGTTCCAGTTTAATGGATCCAGGAGATAGATCGAGCTATGGGTTGTTCTGATGTCCTAGATCCCTCTTAAAGGTCCATGTTGGTTTTAGGAGAAGCTAAGCCCCCCTGCCCCTTGCATGCCACCCATGACAGCCAGTGGAATGGTGTGCGCAGCTTTGTGTATGGATGAATGGCATGGGCAGGATCGCTGATAGACTGCCTGTGCTCTTCTAATCTGAGTTCAGTGTCCCTCTATCTGCCATACCCCCTTGTGTCTCTATCTCTAGCAAACTGCAAACACATGAAGAGTTCAAAACCACTTCACAGGGACCTCTGATCGTCTGAGGCTTGCACTGTTTATTTTATCTCTGCAATGCCTATTCATTGCCTTACTTTCCACAAGCGCAAAGCTCCTACTATACCAGCACATCCAAAAGACACTGACCCCCCCACCCAGGACCCATCAGCACCCCTCCATATCACTCACACTGTCCCTTCTCTTCAGCTTCCCTGCATTCCCTCTAATTGGAATTTCAATCAAGTCCCTATTAAAGATTAATGCTCTTCTAGTGGGACTCTAGGTAACTCATGGGAGACATGCACTGCTTCAAAACATGAAGGCACAGAAGAGCCTTAAAAAAAAAAAAAAAATGCTTTGTAGTATTTTTAAACCTTTGATTTAATCCAGATGTGACATCCAGCAGCAGCCAGCCAGAGTCTGTCTCCATTTGTGAACAGAGGCGAATGGGTTTTGTTATGAGAGAGGAGCAGTGTGTGTCTCTGTCCTGCTTGGATGGATGGTGAGAAGAGAACTCCTAGAAGCAAACCCCAAAGCTCCATGTACTCTACCAGGAAAGAAGATTGAACTTTGAAAAGCTTACCTCCTTCTACTGAAGCTTTGGATCCCGAAAAGTGCACACAGATAACTCCAACGAGAAATACAAAGATATCCATTTTCACCCAAAAACAAATAATAGAGATGTTTGATGGAATCCTCTTGTTAGCAAGTCATTGAGTTTAGCCTTGTCTGGTTTCAGCATGCGGGGGATGCCTACAAACTCCTTGTCCTGGATGCTGCTATTCCTCTGATCTCATGCCACTTGCTGCAATGTCCAGAATGTCACTTTATAGCTGCTTCTCCTCCTCCCAGATAGTCCCACTGTAGATCGCATACACAGGGACAGCTTGGACCGGGATGTCAAGTGGCTGGAGCTTCATTAGCACAGATCTAGGGTTATTTCCTCCGATCAGATGGACTCATGCACAGGCTCACCAATTTGATTAAAGGGAACTTGGTGAGGAGCTGATCCTTGTGCTCCCCTTGGCTTGTCTTTGGCTGGGAAGTGCTGGTGTCTCCGAGGATGGTTCCTGGGAGTGTGAGCTCTGTGCCTCCTTCCTTGAGTCTGCCTCCCTCCCAACTACTCTGCTCCCTTTTACAGAAGGACTAGCATGTGCATGTCAGCATAGGGAGGCAGAGCTACAATCTTCCACACACAGGCAGCCCAGGCACGCCTCCTCATCCCTGTCACTGATTAAAGCAGAGCAGAGAAAAATACCATTTATCACAAGAAGAGGGGGAGAAGGGATCAAAACCAAGCGGATGCATTCAGCTTCAGATCTTAAAGGCGAGATCAAGATTATTTCTCCCCGGATCAGGCTGCTAGCACATCTTTGATCCCCAAGCTCAGTCAACAGGTTCCAGCATCTATATCATCATCATCATCCAGCAGCGCAATCCAGTAAATGCAATTCAACATCCCTGTCCTCATCTTCCCCCATGCATTATTTAGGAGAGGGATTGCACCGGGACATATACAGCAGAAGGCACAGACAGATCTATATTAGTAGAAATCGTCACATGTGTAGGAGGTGGAATATTAACTGGAGCTCAGAATATTTGTAGCATTTTCACAGGGACTGCGCAGCCAAGAAGAGAATGCGAGTCATCTGCTGTAACAAAGGAAACGCTTTGTGTGTGTCTACAGCAATTCATGTAACACTGGCATTCATATAAGTGAAGGTTCATGGATGTATGTAAAAGACCACAATGGGGAAGAGTGTATTCTGCTATCTGTATGTGGTTAATACCTGTAATGATACTATTCAGTATGTTTTTTGCACAGACATTTTTTTTCTTGCTGTATACATTCTTCTCTTCCAGCAAGGAGAATAAGATACAATGTATCCATTTCTCTTTTCAAAAGACAAGGAGGTGGGGAGGGTTCCACAGCTATTGATCATTGTGAAAGCTTATTACAGGCTATCACAGTAATCATGTGATCAGGAGCCAGTCCTCCCGATTCCCAATCGTTAGTACGAGACCTGGAGCAATCGGCTTATATAGCGCACTTCCAACACAAAGAACGCTGCGCATATATGCAGCGGTAGGGAATAAAGTTCACTTTTTTTGAAGCTGCATATATGTGCAACGCGGTTATACAGGAATTAATTTCACATGCCATTATTTCTTTTCCAACATTTATATGCAGACCAAGCTGTCCAACAAAGATGACCATTATATGGGTTAGGACAAACCATAGCCAATAGGTGTCCTACTGCACTCCTTACTGGTCAACCCTTTAGGATGGGTGCTGAATTGACTGCAGATGATGCCACTCAGCACACAGGAGACATATTTACAAGCAAACGGGGCTGCTCAGGGTCTCTTCATCATGCTCAGTGTAAGCCCGATGAAGGGAACCTATGCAGTCCTGAAACGTTGCCATCCTTGTGACAATATGCGTCAGTAAAGGATAAACCATATAACACTGGTTGGCATGCTTGCAATTGTCAGTGTTTATTTATGCAACTATTTCCACTTTTGCAGCCAAACTCGGGTAGCACTTTTTTTATATACAGTATGTTACCTGTTCCTATTCACATAGCACAACGTAAATAAATAAATACATTGCTGATTACCTTTTGCTTGCTCTTTTCTGTAAACTCTCATTCTATGTAATGTTATGGAGGGGGCTGGGGAGTTAATGTTTACCATAATTAACCCTGTTTATACTGTGCTGGCAGATCTCCAATATCAGTTGTACAGGACTATCTGTCCTATAGAAGTGTTAAATACATCAAGGCATTGTATGCTAATGCATTTTTAAAACTCTGTCCCTTCTCTTCACATTGACATCTATTCTAAGCAATAGAAGCTGCCAATAGTTTCCTATGTGTAAACCTGCTCCAAACAAATAACTAGCAAGGTAAGATTTAAAAAAAACAACATAATTGTAAGATATTCTGTGTGAATGGGTACACATAGCGGATATGGGGGGTTCCCAAATTAGACTGCACAAGAGCAAAGACACTTTAAAACTATTTTCCAAAATAAAAAAAGGGTTCTTTAATGACCTAAAAAGTGCTGGAGTTAGGCTTTGTTTTGCTTTTTACTTATTTAAAGCTGCATATCCATCATAGGGCTCATTCCCACAGATGCAAATACATGAGTATGGACATATAGAGTAAAATAAGCCTATATTTGCAGTGCATGGGAGCCCCAGCTGCCGCGCTTTTTGGGTCCATAGGATTGTATGGACACAATGCGATGCACGTGGTTATAGGCATGTCAATGTGAAACGTATGAGTCTGGGAACATACACCCATGTGCATGCAAATGCTGTTATTGCTATTACACACATATCATTTACTGTGCCCATACAATCTTATACTTGCATGCAAAAACACAGCAGCTGAGGTACCCAGGCAGTGCAAAAACAGATGTATTTTTCTCTGTATGCCATACCCCTATAGTTGCATCCATTATTTGCATCCATAGAAATGGGCCCTAAGACTTGTCTACAAGTGTGAGAACCCTGCTGTTTGGTTTTAATGCAGAATGAAAAGTGTTACCACCCTGTTACAGGAAGTGGGAAAATAATAGACCTCTTGGCAGAATCAACAGGTAATATAACTATGTCATGAGGGACTTAGAGGGTTATTCACGCCCTTCGATAAAGCAGAACTGAAGGGCTGCTGTACGGGCTATTCACTATAGAACGTACAGCTTCCGAGCCTGGCCAAGCAGAAGGCATATGCTTTGGCTCGATTGAGCCGAAATGAAACCCGAAGCAGGCCAAATAGCCAGCCATTGGCTGGCCAAAAGACTCGCAACTGACAGCTGAGCAGAGCACCGCTGGCTCCGCCCAGTTGCAATAACAGATCAGCGTCCCCAAGTTACCTGGGGATGCTGAAGTCTCATTAAACAATGACAACTTGGCAAAGCCGGCCGTGACGCCACGGCTGGCTCCGCCCAGTTGTTATTAATTGGCTGAGAGCTGCTAGAAGACTCTAGCAGGTCCCGGCCGATAGAAAACAGTCATCCGCCCAATTGTTTCTTTCTTTTTTTCCAATAATCGTTCTTTTTTCAGCCATACAAGCCTGAAGTGAATAGTCGAACAGCATTCGGCTCACTTCACTTCGGGTCAGTTATTCACTCGGCTGCCTTCAGCAGCTTTGTGAATAACCCTTTCAGAATAATCAAACTGCTGCAATAGTCCTAGTGACAGACTCCATCATATATGTTATTTTGGACCTTGCTCATAGTTCCACTTTAAGTGATCACGATATATTGTAACATATAAAAAGAGGTGTTTGTACAGTAAAAGAAAAAAGCTTGCATTGATCATAAGCTCCTGGGTAGTTGTTTACTTTTTGAGGAAAAGGCAATTAGAAAATGCTTAGCCAGTGTAATTCACAGCAGATGTCTGCACATTGAACAGATTGCTACTTGTATGTGTTAAAGTCTTGAGTTTGTGTGTTCCCGATACAAGAAGCAGCCCTAACTGCCTGACTAGCAGTGCAAGGTATCTGCCCCGTACACCGCTGTGCCATGCTTAGAAATACAGCACTTGGAGAGGATTTGTGATATTGACACAAAGATTTGAAAAATCCAATACCCAATAAATAACCTGAAATTGGTTCCTTTTTACCACTGCAAACTACACTGACACAAAAATAGACTCGAGTGTTTTGTGCACACAATAGGCTTCCATTTGATGGCATTTCAGAGTCAACTGAAAACCCTTTCATCAATGAAAGCTGTCCGAAAATAAAATATCTTCAGAGTCATAGCCCTGCTGCATGTCTGTCACACAAAAAAATGGCCTTTATGCTCTCCATTTGGCAGAAATAGTCTAAATTCCATGCATGCTATTGGGTCCTATGTGACAAATCTTCATTGCTGGCCCTCACAAAGGATGTTTTAGGCTCCATTTGCATAGCAGAGTCTGTGCTATTCTCAGTTATAGAAACTGCTTGACGTCTGCACTGCCAAGGTATAGGCCAAAGGGATCTTCAATGTAAGATAATGATATCAATATTTTATATCCTGAAGCACCCAGCTCTGATTGTATAATTTGATAAAACTGGTAGCTCAGCAATAGAACTGAATAATTTGCAATGCATTAACCTTTGCTGTGCCAGGGTAATTTTCTCTGTTCATGATCCGTAGACCTGGGTACACGATTTGGTCTTTGGTCAAAATGAATGCCGTATTGTTGCTGCTGACTCAAAGGGACCAATTTACTAAGGACATAAGTTTGATCCCTAAACCAGGGCTGGGCAAACTCTTGCCCTCCAGCTATGGTGCAACTACAAATCCCACAAGGCATTGCAAGACTCTGACAGCCACAGGTATGACTTCCAGAGGCAGATGCATGATGGGATTTGTACTTTTGCCACAGCCGGAGGGCCAAAGTTTGCCCACCTCTGCACTAGACAGTTGATCATGAACAAGCTAGCAATGATACCTTATTCTCATTTGCTAAGAGCCATGGTGGTGCCACAGATGTCCATGTGAAAAGCACAGTCATACCAGGCATCAGCTTGCAATGTTTAAGGGCTCGTTCTCAGTAGCCACACGGTAAAATGTGGCATTTTACCGTGTGGCTAGTGCCTGCTGGGTGGCAGTGGTGATCTATTATAGCTATGGTGCCTTGAGTTGTTACAAGGCAAAGCACTGTTTACTTTTTTCTTACCCATATCTGCAGTGTACAAAATATTGTGACCTC